AATATAGATCAGGTCATTCTTTCTAAGTCTATATCATATGTATATATCACATATATTTATTTAAAATTAGAATATATATTTTATATATCGGCAGATAGACAGTTATTATTATTGTATATAAGCCAAATAGTTATCTCCATTCAGCGATAGATTTGTATGTTGTCATTTAGACTTTCATATCATATCTTAAAGTGCCCCCTCATTCAACAATAGGTTTTGCCTAATAAACCTTATCAAAACTTTCTATTCGAATTTACAATAGAAGAGTATTTAATATTCAGCTTGCTCTAGCTTTCTAGATTGCGATTGTGCTTATTCGCTTGTTGCATTTTTGGAGCAATTTGAGTAGTTTCAATTTAGAAGATTTTTGTCAGTTTTTAATTTGATTTATGTATATATTTTCATATATGTATACAATTTTATTTATTTATTTTGTTTTTGTTATTTATTTCTGCTGAGCTTGCGCAGCTGAGTCTAAATTTAGTTGCCACCCTTTTTTTGCTGCTCTTCTGTGTGCGTGTGTGTGTGTGTGTGAGTCAGTTTATGTCATTTCCGATCTATGTCTTGGCTATAAAGAAAAAAATAATAATAGGGGGCACCCCCGCGATTGTGTGTTGAGCACGCTTGGCACCCAGCCAGACGCTGCAATCAGCGTCGACGGCGCTGCCAGCGCCTGCGCCGATGGCGACGTCAACGTCGGCAAACACTTGTCTGCAGCCATGTTCGCAATCAAATATTTTGGCACACGGCATTTAAATGAACATTTTGCCTGGCTCATTATGCCAAACGAAGTAAATGATTTTGTCTGCCATCTTAGCTCTGTTGCTCAATTGTTTTTGTGTTGATTTCTTTGTGTTCTATCTTCTCGTTTAATTGTGCTACAACAGCGTGCCTGAGGTGCTGAAATACGCATTCGTCAATGTTCGCCTGCCGCCCGATGAGGCTGTTGTGGCGCCGAGCTTCGAGGAGGGCATGGAGGTTGAGGTATTCACGCGCACAAACGAACGCGAAACGTGCGGCTGGTGGGTGGCTGTCATCAAAATGCTTAAAGCTGATATCTGTGCGGTCGCGTACATTGGCTTCGAGACGCCCTATACCGAAATCTGTGAATTGGGTAGACTGCGCGCCAAAAATCCAAATCCGCCAATTACGCCCAAATCGTTTTATCAGTTCACGCTGCCCGTGCCCGAGGAACTGCGCGAAGAGTGAGTAAACTGAATATAATATTAAATATCAACACATTTCATATATATCGATGTTTATTTGTTTCGTAGAGCTCAAAAGGATGGCATACACAAGGAGTTTCAGCGCACCATCGATGCGGGCGTTTGCAACTATAATCGCGAATTAGATGCCCTGATTGTCATCTCCAAATGGGAACACACTCAGAAGCGCGCCAGCATGCTCAAGGATATGCATTTTCGTAATCTCTCACAGAAGGTATCAGAATACTGCTCAGAATATTCTTTATAAGGCAGTTATTAAACTCTTTTCAATTTTTATTTGATCATTCAGGTTATGCTACTGAAAAGGACTGAAGAAGCTGCGCGTCAGCTCGAAACGACCAAGCTGATGAGTCGTGGGTAAGCTATAATAGATATATGAAACATAATGCTAGATAGCAAAAATTTAAGCTATAGAAAGAGTTTCTAGGCAGTTGTAGCCTCTAGCATTCTTCTCTAATCCTCTTATCAGCCTTTTAAGTAGCTATGCATAAAATGTATTAGGATATAGGAACTATAAGTTAATTTGTTATGTAGAATTGTCATTATATTGTGCTTATCAGCCATAAGGAATATAGTAATCTGAACTATACATTTAATTGTAAAGGAGTATAAGCGCCGTTCAGCTATCAAGGATATAGAAATGACTTGTAGTGAATTAGAAAAGTTCTCTATTGTTCTTATCAACTGTCAGTTATTCCATTCCCTTCGCTGTCCAATGAAAATGTGTTCTACAACTCTTCCATTATTAAAATTACTTTTTAATACATTATAAACTATAATATTTTCGTTTTGTATCTATTTTAGCAACTTTATCGAGGAATTTCGTGTACGCGAAGATCTCATGGGCCTGGCAATTGGCTCACATGGCTCCAATATACAAGCGGCACGCACGCTGGTCGGCGTTACGAATATTGAGCTGGAGGAAAAATCGTGCACATTCAAGATAAGCGGCGAGACAGAGGAGTCGGTGCAGCGGGCACGAGCCATGCTCGAATATGCCGAGGAGTTCTTTCAAGTGCCCAGAGAGCTGGTTGGCAAGGTGATTGGAAAGAACGGCCGCATCATACAGGAGATTGTAGATAAGAGCGGAGTGTTTCGAATCAAGGTGAGTGCTGTGAGTATTGTACACCTTGCCTGGCATGGCCTAATCTTGCGACAACAACAAAAACACAGATCGCTGGCGATGACGAACAGGATCAGAATATACCACGCGAACCAGCGCACGTACCCTTTGTGTTCATTGGCACCATGGAGAGCATTGCGAATGCTAAAGTGCTGCTGGAGTATCATCTGTCACATCTGAAGGTGAGTTTCAGAACAATTTTGAATGCTCTGTAGTCTGTGCTAATTCTTATTTATATTGATTACTTAGGAAGTGGAGCAACTACGCCAGGAGAAGCTGGAAATCGATCAACAGCTGCGCGCCATTCAAGAGTCCTCGATGGGCTCTACACAGAGCTTCGCTGTGTCGCGGCGCTCAGAGCGCGGCTACAGCAGCGACATAGAATCTGTGCGCTCGATACGTGGCGGCGGCGGCGGCGGTGGTCAGCGCGGCGGTGGTCGCGTTCGCGGGCGTGGCGGCGGTGGCAATAACATGAACCAGCGCTATCACAACAATCGGCGCGAGGACGATGACTACAACTCCCGCGGTGACCATCAGCGTGATCAGCGCTACAATGATCGCAACAGCGGCGGGCCACCAAATGCTGGCAATAACGGTGGTGCTGGTGGCGGTGGAGGCGGCAGTGGTGGTATCCAAAACTATCGCGGCGGCAACGACCGTCGCGGTATCAATCGCCGGCCGCCACGCAACGAGCAGAACGGCAGGGACTATCAGTACCATAATCACACCGACGATATGCGAGAGACGCGCGAAGTGAGCAGCGTGGAGCGTGGTGAGTTGACCAAGCAACGAATGGATTAAGACAGAGAGAGAGAGAGAAAGAGAGACATAGGGAGAGGGAGAGCAGTCGGCTTGCGGATCGTTTAAGCGGGGGGACAAGACGTTCTCGGTATTCAAGCAACCACTGTTGTGTAAAACTAGGGACTGTGTGTCTGTATGAGTGTATCTGTGTAAGAGTGTATGGTATACACACGTATATATGTATATATAAACTCATATATACATATCAACGGTTTTTTGGCTAACATATGAATCCAATTTGTGCAATTCAATGTAACCCATTTGTAATATGACTTTTGACGTTATAAATTTGATTTCTGATTGGGCTGAACCCCCGCTTAATATTGCAAACTTTTGTGTTATTTCAATTGCGTCACCTGTACACATATATGTTTCTCTCTTCCGGCACAGCGGACAGCAACTCATCGTACGAGGGCAGCTCCAGAAGACGCAGAAGGCAAAAGAACAACAATGCGCCCGGCAACAGTGAGTATGGTGAGGATGATTCCACTTGAATGCTAAATTGAACAACAATTTCGACTCCACTTGCAGCAAATGGCGCGGTAGGAAATAATAACAACAAATCACAACAGCCACCGTCATCCTCGTCGTCGACGTCCGCACAGCAACAGCACCAGGCGCCAGCACAATCGAACAAAGCGCCGCTGAATGCACAGGAGAACAGCAAACAGAGCAGTGGCAATGCGAACGCCTCGTCTGGCAAGTCGAAGGATGCGCCGCGGAATAGCGATAAGCAGCAGGCGGCCACACAACAGCAGCAGCAACAGTTGCTGCCGCAGCAACAACAGCAACCACCGCAGCTTGCCCAACAGCAACAGCAGCAGCCACAGGGACCGCAGCACCAGCAGTCAAAGCCCAGGCGCAACAACAAGAATCGCAATAACCATGCGGATCAGGCGGTTAACTCGGATGTCATCAAGAAGGAAGGCTTGGTCAATGGTACGTCCTAATTAGCACCAGCAACAGCACCAGCAACAACAACAACAACACGGCAACAACAACAACAACCAAACAAAATGCAAATCTTTCGTTCAACATGTTGTATATGCGCATCAGGCAAGAGACAAACACACAGACAACATGCAGGCAGATAATTAAATTTGAATGTTCATGTCGTTTACACAACAAAACATACACCCACACACACAACATAACGAAACAAACAACAAACAGAACAACGTGTAGAGTAGGCATAAATAACAAAATGTTTGAGAAACTATTTCGAGTAACTAAAAAATAAACAACAAACATATATAATTATACATGAATAATGTACCACATACAAATACACATACATATATATACTAATACGTCACACACAACAATACATACACACACACACACACAAACTTACAGACAGCTCGAATTATACACAAAAAGAAGAGGAATGCAACATACAACCATGGCTAGGCTTATAATTTTAATTGAAATTAAATAAAAACAATCAAAAACAAAAAGAAACTAATTAATTATGTGTATAAACCAAAACTAAAATGCAATTATTAGCAAAACACGAAAAGAAAAGAGAACAAATTGAATTATGTTAACTTAAACTTAAATGCAGGCAATTAGCACAGTTTTTCAAAAAGAAAACGGAAAATGAATTGCTAAAATAAGAAACCAATAAAAAAAAAAAAAAACAAAAAACATGAAAAACTTGCCGAAAATGTGCTTTTAAAGCGCGATTCTTCAGCAACATGGAAAGTTTCTAGTTACATAATGAAAATTATAGTGAAAGAAATCAATGTAATTGCAATTATGTTTTTTTTCTATTATTCACACATATATACCAATATAATATATATGTATATACTATTTAATTTCATTTGTAAATTAGCATTAAAAAAATATTTAGTTTGACAAGTTTTGTGTATAATTCGTGCGTGAATCAAAACTAAATTGCAAAAGTTATTATTTTTCGTATATAGCTTCATTTTATTTTTATTTTTTTAAACATACATTTTGTATTATTATTGTTTAGTTACGTAAATGCTTGCGTAGAGAATTTCAACAAATATCTGCAAAGCATTTGAAAGCGTAAAAAATTTCGAATTTTGTTTATTCATTTTAGAATTTGTTGCATTTTGTTTTATGTCGAGCCTGAACATTAACGATATGGAAAACCTCTCTTATTTGTATAACGTTGTATTTATTACTACTATTATTTAGCATACACGCTCTAACACACACATATACACAAACCCACACACTCGCTCGCTCATATATCTACGCAAAGAACATGAATGGGGTAAATAAATAAATATAATTCATTAACATTTTTGTTGATATCAAATCATATAAATTATATTCAACTTTGCCAATACCTATCACGCGTATAACTAATTTATTAGTACCCTATTAAATACTCTTAAATTATTTAAAGCAGCGATAAACATAAATTACATTAACAACATAAATAACACCAACTGGGAGATACAACAATAGAAACAACAAACATAATTAAAAGCTAGTTAAAACAGAATCGAAGTTAAAAAGTAATAAATTCATTAAAATCAGTTTAAAGATATTTAAAGAAAAAAAGATATGAAAAAATAAAAACAGCCACACTTACAAGAACAAACAAAACAGATAAGAAACGGATAATATAAAATACAAAACAGATTTCTTCTCATTTACTTGAAGAATAATGTCAATAATATATATAAAAAAAAAAAAAAAAAACTTTTAAAAAAAAAAAAAAAAAAAAAAAAAAAAAAAAAAAAAAAAAAACAAGCGATAAATAATAGAAATGTTGTGTAATTCAAATAAAAAATACAAGAAAAAAAAAGCAAAAAAAAATTGAAAAGAGAAAGAATGTGCGATCTAAAAATGATTATTTATATGAAGATGAACTTATATAGAAATATAGCAAGTAAATTTTATTAATTTAAAATTTATAAATATAAAAAACAAACAAAACATAAAGAACCACATTGTTTTTTGCTTTTATTTATAAATGCTTTTTGCGCCCAGCAGCGGTTCAATAAAAATAACATTCACTATAAGATTAAGCAGCTGGGAGAAATTCCAACTATTGGAAGAATTATCTAAAGAAACGTAGATTTACGTAGCACATAGACTTAAAATTCCTCGAATACCATATAACAAAAGCTTTTGATTCTGATATTTTGCTACCATTGCAGATACTTATAGAGGGAGTGAGAGGGATTCTAACTGGAGAGGAATTTTTCTTAAATTATCCTGCTGTAAATATATAGCTTATATTTGTATAAACATAGACAATGAGGAAAAGACTTCGTGCTAACGTAGCGCTTGGTTTTCAATCACTTTTTCATATGTTAATATAATATTTCAGTTGAAATATAGGATATCTACATGATGTTACATATAGAACAACTAACATTATAATCCTAATACATTACTAAATTAGAGAGCGCTTACTTTAGAACAGAAAAAAAAGATCTGCAGAATTCACCTATAAAAATAAAATTAGATAACTTTTAAAACATTTTTAAATTAAATTTCCTCGAAAATTCAAGATCTGCTCATAAGCAGACATATCGTGTATACTGTGAAATCAAGAACTTTTTATTACAATGGAAAATGATATTTTATTCTCAGACTTTAAAATACGGCAATTATATTGACTTCAAGTCTAATCATTTATATATTTTTTTTAATTTACCTTTTTAAAGATTTTAGGACTTACTACAGTTAAAATAAATTCCAGCCATTTTATTATATTCGATATTTTTCCTTTAAAGATGTATATCCTTCTGCGTACTCACCTGAGACCACATGTCTTGCATCTACTTATCCTAGATAAGTAATCTGCAAATATTGCAGTTTGCTTTGTTAGCTTGTACATTGTTGTTATTTATATACTTGTTAATTAGTTATTAGTTCTTTTCATCTAGTGGCTCTCGGTGTCATAGCTTGTCGCGGCGGCAGTGAAGATAGTGGCTGTGATTTCTCAAGTGGCCACACAACCAGCTAACCACACTGCCAAAGCGCATAGCCAATCGGATTAAAGGGTATTTTTTCGTATGATAAAATTATGAGAAATAAGTTAAAAATAATATAATATGATGAGCGCATACTACAGATAGATTGAACACTTTGAAAACGGGCGCCAATCAGAATTCGCCCAAATGCCGTCGCGAGCTTTTCAGCGGGGCGAAATCACTTTGCGCCATCTTGCGTCTCATTGGCAGCAACATCGCCGCCGCCGCCGTTGTCGTCGTCGTCGCCGTTGGCTTATCCACTTATGCTGCATTTTATGCTACGTTGCGTGCCCGCCGAAAGCTTTATTCATTTTGCGTGGCTCCAAGCGCAGCGCTGTAAAATATGCAATAAAACTTTGAGATACATACATATATATTGGGGGAATTGTAGGTTTCTATGTTGGCCTTGACAAGTGGGCTGGAGTGGTGGAGCGAAAGTTGGGCTGCAAACAAATTACTTAGAGCATGCAACGTCTGAAGGTCGCTTTTTAGTTAGTTTTGCTTTAAGCTATTCATATAATAATTGCTTTCAGTTTCAAGCTTAAAGTGGGCCACCATGTGACGCCTTCTTTGCAACTGGAGTTGGGATGAGTCGACCCGGTTTCAAGGTCATTGCAAGCGAGTCGAACTGGCCTTTCGATGGTGTCTTATTATTACTCAATATGATTTACGTTGTATTATCTAATCTTTATAGATTTGTAAAAAATGTATCTCACATTTTATGCATCGAAAGTTTTTTAAAATCTCTAATGATTTTGAATGATTGATTTTAAAGTTATCTGTATCTCAGACTATCTATATAACTATGTCTAATCATATGTGTCTGGTATGTATATATCTATCTTTGTTTATATATGTCTGTATCTATTCATTCATAATATACCTCTGTCTTATGTATGTATCTATTATATAGGCCAATCTGTCCACATGTATCTACATATCTATTTATAGTACGTATCTTTGTGTACGTATATCTATCTTTTCTATATGTATCTATTATTATCTATATCTATCTATATGTCTATCAAATAAAGAATTTAATGTATCTCTAAATTTTATGTAGTTGTATCTTCTCTACATTCCATCAAATGTATCTCAGCCCTCTAGTAAAATCTTTTCAATGTTTTGCACTATATTTTTATACATACATATATTTTCTATCTATATGCTTTAAATTAATCACCCTATTAAATATATCTTTTGTGTGTATCTTTTATATGGCTAGATGTACCCTAATATATATAACTATATGTATATGGCTGATGCAGTAGTATATATAAGGTATATATTTGCATGTTTAATGCTCAATGGAATTGTATCTTGGGCATACTTCAGATAGATTTTCTGCCCTAATTACACAGAAATAAAACGACATATATTAAAGATATTTATTTAAAATAGAAAACATTTTTATTAACATATAATTTCT